AAGTAGGCAACAATATGTGAGGATAACGAAATTTCTTTGTAATTGACCCTACAGAGTAAGAATTTCTTTGTAAGTGACCCTACAAAGGAATCTGAAATTTTTTTGAAAAATTCTGAAGAAAAGGATTTAGGATGACAACTTGTATATAGTGGGTACTTTACTTGCTGATTATCAACAAATTGACCGAACCTTTATAATGCTCTATCGTGCCAATTGCTCAAAAAAGGGTAATGTTTAGTAGTATAGAACAAGGTAATCGGGATTGACTCTTTGTCAATTGTCAGTTATTTTGTGAATGTGCACTAGTCCGTGAAAAAACGCTTGCCAATCATAAAACATTGGTAGCTCAGTAAATTTTATTTCTTTACATAATATCCTAGTACTTGCCCTTTCAGTTACCATATTCTTCAATCTCGCTAGAGTTTAGTCCATATTTCAAAAGGAGTTCTATGCTACGAGTTAAATGGCTAAAAGTTTGAATGTTGTCAGAAAATCAACAAAGAAATCAGAATAGAGTACTCTACAGCATTTAAAAAATAGCGTTCATGATCTGAACCTAAATAAAAAATGTTTTCTTCGCTTTTGGAAGACCAAATAACTCAATGCATAGCGAGCGCACCTGGGACACTAGCAGGGACTATTGTGATGTACATAACTTGCTGAAAGTCGTTTCTGTGTAATGCAGTTTTTGCCGTCTTCACAGCTTTGTATTTCTCCAGACGCTTTTTCGTTGTCTTTGTTATTTCTTTTCTATATGTCTACCACAGCAATAGGTGGTCTATGCTCTTTGTTGTGATTCAAAGTCACGATGGGATTCTTTGTCAGATAAATTCAAAAATTTTCGCTCAATCGGTTGTAGCCCTTAATACACTTATTTTAAACAGCTAATTTTTATCTATAATTCACTCCATGGTAGGATTTGTATCTTATCAGATAATCATTTTGCAGCGTTTTAGTAAAGTAGCCCAACTTATTCGGACGCGCCATAACCGAGTCCACGGCAGCGAGCAACTTTCCGCAGCTCCTGTGACAATGATTTACTTCATATTTCTTCTGTACATTGCGGAAACATCGTACTCTGCAACTATGATTTATCAGGCTAAGGTAGAAATTTAATGCGGTCACGCTTCTAAGATTCTTTTAATACTTCCGTAAGTTTTTTACAGGTAGGCGAGCAGGTATCGCTTGATTTGGGTCCCAATATTGTAACCTGGGGACGCACAAGAAATAACAGCAGTGAATTTATCAAATACTGCAAAGAGGGAGACACCAATGCTCGATGTCATCATTTCGTAGATGAGGTGTTTCAACAAATTTATGTGTTTCTGTATAATACAGTAGAGATGAGCTATTTGGTAGTATACCTTCTCAGGTTTTTTTTCAACCTTATATTTTCTCTTCAGAATTTGAGTTTAAGGAAAATATTCCCGCTTTTCCTGCAACCGAAGCT